TATTTAAAATATAAATAAATAATTTATCTTCCGTTTTATATTGTTGTGAAACTTGGTTTTCTGCCCTACGGAGAGAACACAGACTGAGGATGTTTGAGAACAGTTCACAGAGGAGAATATTAAAACTTAAGAGACAAGAAGAAATAGATGGATAAAAACTGAATGAGAAGTCTGAAAATCTGTACTCTTCATACAAAAATATTAAAATTGACCTTAAAGAAAAGTGTAGACTGAATTTAACTGGCTCCGAACAAGATCCTGTTGGGCTCTTGTAAACACGATAAAGTACCTTTGGGTTTCATTAAATATAAGAAATTCCCTTGAGAGTTTAGCAACCACCAGGTCCTCTACGTGGACTCCGTTGCATAGAGTTAAGTACAGAATGCACAAAGGTTTCATGCGGCATCAAAAGCCGGCTTCTTAGTTCATTTTAATGATGATTAACCGACTACAAGCGTATATCTCGTGTTAGATAATAATATGATGTAGTAAGGCACTTTATACGAGAATTAATTGCTTATTATTCGTTTACTTCACCACGTGAGTTTATTAACGTTAAGAGGGATATAATAAGAAGATTATAAACATAAAGAATATCCTGAATCGAAAACAGGCAAGACAGCTTAAGTCTGTGGTGGCCGAAGAAGACTAAATTTCGTCGGAAAAAGTGTACATGAAAGAGAAGTGATGTCGTAAATTTTATGGCATTACACCAAGTTTCACCTAGAGAACTGAAAAAACTCACAAGAAATATCAGAAGGGTTCCCCGTCTGCCATCGTTGGAACCGTGAGTAAGTCTAGGTTCCGAATTTAGCCAGAAATTCTATTTACCACACAGTAAAACTCTTTATTCTTGAAAATATAGTTACTAATTTATTTCCAGCTGAATATGCAGTTAATTTGACATTTAATCACTATGGTAAAGAAAATATTTCTTCTGAAGTTAGAAATTCTATAGCCGACTGTACTGATTCTATTATTAGAGTATTTTAGTTGAAGAAAATTTTATTTCCAACAAAAGAAAAGTCGTTATATGGTTGTTAGTTTTATATCCGGCCGGCATCAAGAGTGACGGCGCCACAGTTGCATCGCAAGCAAAGTCATCCTCACCTCCAAGATGTACGCTCTTTTTTTACGACGAAGAACCACAAAGACGACGCGTCCTCTTGAGAGTATAAGGCCAGCAATTTCTCATTCTTATTAAAATCGTCGAGTGAGAGCACGTCAGTGGTGATGGGATGATGTCATAAGCCACGGCTGGCGTCGCACGTCAAAAAGACGTTAACCGCGAGGCACCAGAGATTACAAAAAAAGTGTCGAACGACCTGACATCACACTCAATCTTCCAGTTCACCGGGTAGTGTATATACCGCATTCAGATACATAAAGAAACGTATAAGCACGAGCACTCGTAACTCTTTGCACAAGCAGAGATAATAAACAACATATGACTTCAATTCACGGCGTATATCTGCATATACTACTGCTCAGACTGACCACGAACCCGGTAAAAATTTCGGAAGGAGTTCAAAATATCAGTTTCCGTAACGATTCTCCAGTTTGAGAAACCGTTTATTTAGTCTAGCCGCCAACAAAATGTATGTTTCAAGGTCACTGCAAAATAGTACTACGCTGCAACATGAACACCGCAACACAGGCGAAAGCGCACTCATTCACACTGTGCAATCAGAAAACCCTTGTATTTCCGAAATTATGCACATAGAAAAATTCTTAAAACAACCATAGGTTCTAATAAAATCTGTATTTTATAACGCACACCAGCCTTTTGCACGATAAGCAGTTTTTAAGACATCAAAGTGCGATTAAGCTTTAAGCGGAGTATGAAACCGATTCGAAATGCAATTAAATAGACCATACAACGTATAATGTGAAGCTTTCACAGAGGCTGTCATTAATAAAATCGTCTGGGACCATCAGCCACGTCAGATTATTAAAACTTGCCGACGTTTCGAGGACCATTTCTGCCCTTATCTTCAGGACTACTCGTTAGACCAGACTCCCAACCGCAATTGAATTGAAACCCGTTCAGTAGTTTCGTTGACGAAGTACCAGGGCTGTTCTGTTGAGTACCAAAATTCAGTCCTTCAAAATTATCTACAATTAGGGGTTCAAATCGCGAACTGTCCGTATAGAAAGTTCAAGAGGCTAATATAGCGTATCAAAGCCCTCCGAAAGAAGAGGCGGTGTATTTTGTTACGTGAGTTATGTGACGTCATTAACAAAACTGCTTTTCCCATTTCCACACTCGTCCGTCCCCTCTCCAGCCGACAACAGTAATATTGGGCGGGCGTTATCCTCCTGCGGCTTTTGCACGAAAGTAATGTCCCTTTTTAAAGGTCGAATTATTGTGCTGACCTGCACCTAACTTTACAATGGGTTACCACGTCACAACCATCCTAATATCGCTGTAAAATATCTACAATATAAAGTGTATCTAATCACTGGAATATATATAAAAAGATAAATATGTTTTTCTAATAAATAATAAGATTAAAATTACAACCAAAAAATTGGGGTGGTGTTATTTTATTTCCCTTTTACGGAGAGGTCCATAAATACTCTTCCTACAATAATTTCAAAAGCTTTTCTGATGCCCGTCTTGTATAACATTTCCTTTAACACAAAGATAACACGGATTATTTTCTTGTAATATCAAATGTTAATGTTCAAGTTAACATCTAAAGCTGTATTCATCAGAGTCCTTGAGACGCTGATCATTGTTCAAAGTAGTCAAGAAATTTCCCACCTTCTGCAAAAGCACGCCACTGATCCCTATCTCGAGCCAGCTTAATCTAGACCAACTTCCTGTCACATTTTACTAAGATCCGTGTTAATAGTATCCTCCCGTCTATGCGTTCGCTTCAGGGTTTCCAACCAAATTCTGCGTTACGTAATTCTCATCCTTGACTTGATCATCGTAACATTATCCGGAGATTAATACAACTGACGTAGAAATTTAGCTATTTTCTCCAACATACTGTCATTTCATCCCCCTTAGATCCAAATATTCTATTAAGCACCCCTTTCTCAAACACTCTCATGTTGTGACAGGCCAAGTTTTACGCCCACACAAAACAACATAAAATTATTTTGTATATTTTAATCTTTTTCGTTTTAGATAGCAGCCGAGAAATTACAATTTTCTAAACTTCATATAGCAAGCATTCCCTGAATTTACAGTTCCTAATTTCTTCGTGGATTAAATTTTATTTTCTTACAGTCATTCCCAAATATTTTAATTATGCCTCATTTTCAAAGGCCGTGCTTTGATACTTTCCAATTGGAATTTCGTTCCCTAATTATTTAATCCGGCTGTTTAGATTTTAATAACTTAACTTACGAACTCTATGAACCAGATTGATTCTCGACAAGTCCTTTATACCTCCAGTCAACTGATTGTAATCACCGATTTCTACTTACCACAGGTATTTATCTATTTCCTTCCAGAACTTTGTTTATCCATCACAATTCCATGTATATTTTTACTTTTAACACAGTGCCCAGTTTAATATGCATACAACCATTATAGTATCAAACACGAACGAAATAAACAGAAGGCATAGATTGTGGTGTGTGTCGAAATGTATTGCTACGCTTTGCTCTGTTTGGAATCGTTCAGCGTTAATGCCGGTAAGCTTCGTAGTGGGGTAGGCTACAACGCGCCTCCATGTGAGTAGAACGAGAAAGTCGACCGTGATTCGCGAGTTTAATTGGGTTAAAACAAACTAAAGAGTCGCTCACAGAGCTTGTGTGCATGACGTGTGGACAAGTTTACTGCAGGAAAGATGGGCTTGCTTCAGTCACGGACCTCCAAACCACGTATTCGTACTGTTGTCGGATTGTAACAAACCCCTAGAGCCCAGGCTCCCTCCAGTCGATTGCGCTGTTTGTGCTCAGGCTTCTTTTAATATACAGGCATACTGCCGTAGCTAGTAACAATTCTTCGTCCATCGCAAACACCACGCACTTCACAGAGTGACAACAAACCGCGACTGGCGTGACGCGACCGTGAATGTAGTACCTCTTTGGACGACATCCGTTTGGACGTCATCCATTCGGATGTCATCCATCTGGAGCGATCGTGAATGGCGGCCTTTAAAGAGGGAGACAGTGTTCTTCCCCGAAATGCTGGTACTCCCATCTACCTACAAGTTCACTTGGCTTAAAACCCAGAAGACCAATACCGACATTATCATTGCCGTGGAAACTCCAAATCTCAAATTTGCAGTTAGCAACCGATATTTAGATGTGTTTGTATGAGGCCGCATTTCTAGGAAAAAATTTTACTCAGAAATGCAAACGATAGAAAAAAATTCGGGTGTAACAGTTAGCCTGACTTAACTACTGCCCGTAACTGAATTTAACGCTTACTATTCCAAACACAAACTCTATTTGCTCACAAAATGGTGCATAGCACGTAATAAACTTCACAAGTTTCTTTCTAATCAAGGATGCAGTAGGCGGGGCATATGCCACGCATGGGGAGATGAGCATAATTACAAAACTTCAGTCGGGAAACTGAAGAGGCCACTTGCGAGACCTCGATGTAGATGGGAGAATAATATTAAAATGGATCTTCAAGAAATGGGGTATTAGGGTATGGACTGGGCAGTGGCAGCGTAACCAGTCGAGGGACCCTGAACGATATTAATCAGCGAAGTCCATTAAGGAAAAGTACATGTGATTTATTTTAGTTGATTTCAATTATTGCAATTCTGACAATTTTAAACTGCCTCTCCGTAGCTGGCTCACAGGATTCCTGCAAGTTTTCCTTTTTCCAGTTGTAAATCCTAACTTGGGTAATTGCCAATTACTCAGACAAGTAGTGACAATGTGAGCAAACAGAATACCACAAATCTGCTGTTAATAATAGTACATTATGAAAGGAATCTGAAAAATTGACTTCGTTGAAATGTTTCTCGACCAAACCAGCTATAGCAGGTATTACCTCTAATTAAACACAGCATTTATCAGCTTACCTTAAAATGGAGACTGGTTATTATGTGAATTTAAGTTTTATTTAGATGTACTTCATGATCCCAATGGTTACGAAATGTCCTTTTTCACTCACACGTGTCTTCCACTGCAACGTACGCGGTTACAATAACGCATCAACCTCGCCGTGGGAAAATACAGCGAAAAAGAGCGTAAGACACAAAGATGAAAGACTGGGAAGCAGCAAGTCTACACCATGCATTCAGCAAAATACTTCCATATATGAGGGGTAGCAGCAAGTATACTGAAAGCAGACACGGATAGCCAAGTGATGGTCCTCACAGGGTCTCGGATTTCGGCAGTTTCTTTAAAACGACCTACACAACAGAAAATTGCTATGAGAATTGTAACTTGTAAAGTCATAAGTCCCTAAAGGTCTCTGAAAGAAGGAACGAGAAAATCAGCAATTTGGATGTTAAAAAATGGATGCCAGGGAAATACGGCTTGGGGAAACTGATTGGATTCATCTGGCCATCTGGCACAGGAAAGAGACTGATAGCGGAGCACAGTAGTCAATTTTCTGGTTCCATCATATGCGGGAAATTTCTTGACTAGTTGTAATCTGTACAGTTGGCTACATTGTACACAAGATTGTTTATACCAACTGAAAATCGTGTAAATAATTGCCGAACTGGCAAATATTCATGATCGAGTTTGTGTGTGACTGGTCTTACACTTAGAAGTGCATTAGAATGGGTGATGGACGTATGTTTATTGCTTATTTTTCCACCGTTCTAAAGTTGTTCTTTACGTGACTGCACAAGAGCACGTGTAAATAATGGAATCCAATTGGCGAGAAGAATGCCTTTTAAAATATTATTGACCATACTATAATGAATACGTTTGTTTATGTTGCATCCTGGATTACCATTGTGACTTAACAAAACTTTTTTTTCCGCCAAACTTCAATGATTCATTTTCAACATATAGGTTATGTTACATTGTGTTAGCACATTAACTTAATAGGTGGATATTTTCTAAATATATAATTTATTTTCAATATACATGCAGTTTTTAGGATGCCTTTGTTAAGTTGGAATGGTTTGTTTTAGGGTTAAGGGTTGTTCTACCGTCCAGTGACAAAACGATACTTCAACTTTCCATGTAATTTGCCTTTCATTTTTCAGTCTTGTTTCACCATATCCTTTTGTATTTTCCTCCTTGCACAGATTTATCCTTTAGATCTGACACAGATCACTTGTTTTAATAGTTTTTTTGTGGCCTGATATATCTGTCATCACTTGCCCAAATAACTTGTATATGTTATTTGATACATGCTGAGAACTAGGGATACCTTTACCATTATTTGAAATATTATACATGCCACATGACTCTAATAAAATGACTGTTTTTATTTTTTTCAGTGGATACAAATGAATTTGATACTTTACTGTTGAATGTAGCAATGAAGCGGAAACGTTTTCCAGAGTTATGCTCAAAGCTTTTATCTAATACTTTGAAGATTGAAATAAATAATTTGGTATGTTATTTTTATCACATGCATCAGTAGATATATTTATAGCATATTAACCACAAATGCCAGTAAGTAAAAAAGTAAAGCTGGCCCACTATATGCCATGTAGGCACTTTAGAGGAGAGAATGTATAGCTCCTACTCATTCTTGACCTCAGCACTAGACAGGGGTGAGTAGTCAGCATCATGCCCAGGCCGCCCTTTGCCCTGGGAAAAGAACCCTAGTAGCCATTCGATACGAGGCTGGGTGGGTCCCAGAGCCAGTCTGGATTTAAAAGCAAGAGGAAAAATCCTCTGCCCCCGTCAGGGATTGAACCTACGGATAATATTACCAAAAAAGATTAGTTTAGCAAAATTATAGATAGCTGTTTGTAATCATATGTGAAAAAATTTTAAGAACTGCATCACTAAACATGGGATTTCTTAAAAGGTGGTGACTCTAGTCATGTACATGTATGTTATGTCTTAACGAGTCTTAAAATGTGACCAATCTGCTATCCTCAGCAGTACCATTTCCTACAAAGTGCATACAGAACCAACCTGTCAAAGGCATACGTGGTTTAGGGCCAGTTTAATACCTTGTGGCTTGGCCCAAATCATCAGAGGAATTAACATTTTGAGAGAATACAATATGTAAAATGTAATTTTGTATTCTATAATTAATTGTATCTCTTGTAATATGATTTAAATAAAATAACATGTATTTATTTTATATTGTGTTAATTATTTTTATGGTTTAAGTTTCAAATAACTACATTTTTCAGAGGTATGTCAAGTGTTTTTGTTCTGGTGTGAGATCTAAAAGTTATATTATCTGATATTTAAGAATGCCTGACAGAGCTTCATTAATATGCGGGTGCTGCCATTTCTTGTCTATCTTACAATCATATTTATAATATCATAAAATAATTATATAACTAAAGGTTGCATAGGCTCAAGCTAAAAATACAAATGGTAGGGAAGACAAGCATGACAAAATAGCTTAGATGGAGGCACGTAAGTAAATTAAATTAACATTCTGTTGTGAACACACCTGAAAAGGGCAATACTTCTAAGTCCTTATTTATGTATTTTCTGTTCTGTTACAGAAATCTGCAAATGTGGAGTTAAACAGTTCCAGCGATAATAATGCCACTTGGTGCATCTCAGATAAGCTTAAAAATGAGATAAGACAATCAGTGCATGACATCAAATCATTGGATACTTTGAACAAAGTAAATAACAGGACCAGAACATTTTTTAATTGAACTACTGCAGTTTGTTGCTTATCAAATTGCTTTTGCTTTCTGCATTGTAAAGCAGGACAAGCTAGTGATTTGCCCTGATAGAAACTTAATGCTCCTTGTTGAGAAAGAACCAGCTTAAAGATTATATCATGAACATTTATATTGTAAACTGGAATGGTTCATATTTCATGCACACCAAATAAATCTCGGTTAATATCCATTCTCACGTGGAAATAATTTAAATTTTTGTTCGTGACTCTGCTCACCACCAAAATCATATTTTAGAAATGACTAAGACATTCTTTGGATATTTGGCAGAGGTTGAAGGGAAATGGCTGTTGTGGCCATTATTAGATATTTTATCTGATTTATATAAATAAATGGAATAAACTACCTCATACTTTGAAATGAAGTTTCTGGAAAATTCTTCACAGAACTTCACATTTAAAAACACTTCCATGTTCCAGAAAAACCTATTAGTGTTACTGCTTTTTCAATGACTATAGTAGTTTGATTTAAAAAATGTTGTTAGTTTTTCTTCTCTGTAAGATTTGAGGATGTATTTTTTAAGCTAAAATAAAACTTTTAAGTTTGTGGGCCAAACATTATAGCCCTTGTGTCTGAGTAAAATTTTGTCATTGTTATTTCTTACGGGGTGTAATATATTTACTCACATAAAATATAATTTTTGGCAAGATTTTTATAAGTAATAGTGGGTGCTTAAGTAACAATATGAAATTATTTGTTACAGGCAGAGGACGTATTACAGAATACAAGGAGTACAAAATGTGTAATGGATCAAATTCAGAGAGAGAAAACCTGTGAAATGGACATTTACTTGAGGAGGTATAGCAAAGACTACAAGAATACATGGCATCAAAACTCGAATTGAGAACTGCATTCTCTGCGACTTTAAAGAATATTGGTTCAGACACAAAAATAATAAGCAAAGTCGTCACATTTTATATTTGTACAAAGAACGTTAGGTCTGTGAAGGTGCCACTTTCTAAAACACCCATTTCAGATTTAGGTGGGCATTTTTCAGATTTTTTAATGTATTTATAACAAAATCCTAAAAGACGAGGTATTAATTTTACAGTATTCCAGTAAGCATGGAGGAGTATGGGATGATGTTACAGGTCACCGAATTAAAGTGAAGAAATAGTAATGTTTATACTTTTAATCTCAAAATTTTTTGATATTAATTGATCAGAAACATGTCTACACGATGCCAAAACCCAGTAAAACATCAGATCGAAAGCTGACGGGTGCATATTTGCAACTTTAAGCTCCAAATGTGGAGCTGGAAAGGAAGGTGTCGTAACCCATTTTAAAGTATAATTTCAGTGTCACTCATCTGGAATGACTAAATAAAACTATGAAAATACTCAAGACAGCCACAATCACACCAGAAATACAACTGGCTACCAGCAGGAGTTCTGACTATGCATACTGCAGCTTTCTGCAAAATAGGTAGTAGAGTACATTTCTCTTTATGTGTATTGTCTCAATAAACTTTATCATGATAACAAAATTAAATCTGAAAGTTCATTTTGAAACTCCTTTAGTACTCACCTTATGGATTTTCTTTTCCTAAGCTCTGTCACTTCTACATGAAAACTACCGTCATCCAGCAGAGCAGCAACCCGTCGCTTCATATAACCATATTACAATAGTACAAACTGTAGGCACTATAATATATGTACATAGAGCCAATCCGTCAAAATATCAAAAGAATCAAATCTTGTAATTGTAAATTCTACAGAAATAATACATTTTAAAAGCTAAACTGAATTAAATATTAAATATATATTATGTCCAAGTGATGTGATATAACGGTTCTGTATGAGGTTTTTCTATCTTTTAAAGCTCTCAAATTATTGGTCAAAGTCTCGAGGTTTATGATGTTGGTGCATTATAATATGTCAAATTGTTCTTTTAAACTTCGTCTCTCAAATTATGTTGGGGTACTGGAGCAATACACTGAAAAGTCATCATTCCTGGCAGGTTCACAGTTAGAATGTTGGTATTGTTGTTATGAACTTATATAAATTTGAAAATATGAAACAAAATTTTGACATTGGAAATACAATGCAAAAAATAATTATAAATTGTACTCTAAATATTCTGTTTCTTAGTTAAATTTGCACATTACTCTTGATAAATTAATTAACATCTCATTAGTTCATTTTTAACATAAATTATTCTTGTGATGCTGGAAATAAACTACTTTTTACATTGCTAATTCACTCTAAATATGTTCTTGTCCCTTTTCAGCAGAAGAAAACTGGATGCAAATGCCTGATTTTCTGGTTGTACTGGTTACCTTAACCACCATTCCATATGAAACTAAATTAATATTCATCATATTCATAACCACCATAATAATCATCTTCCCTGTGGTGATTCAACATCTGTGCTAATGATATCTCATCATTTTGTTCATGTTCCACATCAGGCTCATCCTCAAATTCATCAGCATCATCTAGAACAAAGGAAAAAAAATTGCAATTTATTACTTGGTCTCTTTAAATGCCGTTATCCATTCCAGATTTTATATACATCTGATTTTGCCCATCCGTATCCATTTCCCCATCTCTTAGATACAAATTTATTTTCATTACTGTGTTTCAAGATGAGCCGGGATAGCTCAGTCAGTATAGTGACTCTCTACGGACTGGGCGACCGGGGTTCGATCCCTGACGAGGGCAGAGGATTTTTCCTCTAGCCTCTGCATCCAGATTGGCTCTGGGGCCCACCCAGCCTCCTCTACAATGGGTACCAGGGTCCTTTCCCAGGGGTAAAGCACGGCCGGGGCGTGATGCTGACCACTCACCCCCTTGTAGTGCCGAGGTCAAGAATGAGTACGAGCTATACCTCCACTCCCCCCCAAGCTCCTGCATGGCGTATAGTGGGACAGCTTTACTATTTACTTTACTGTGTTTCAAATGTTTTAGAATTATACTTCTTACTAAAACTAATTAGTTCATTATTTTGACAAATTGGATTAACCCTTTGAAGCTGAATATCATGTAAATAATATTTAAGATTCAATCCACAACCACACTGCAAAGAATGTGAAACTCGTTATCATTACAAAGATCAGCTGGTTAATGCTGTTTCAGGAAATAATCCCTGTTCACAGCGAGAATCATACAAAGTGAAATGTTACTGATCATTGAAGTAGGTGGGATGCAGTAATTATCATTGGGGTTTAAGAGGTCAATACAAATTAAGTTGCCATTTATAGAATTCCTGCACATCTGACTTCATGGCAATCTAGATGTTCAATTAATATTTCATTCAATACCACTGTCACTGTTATCATGCATATAATTAAATTCATTAATTAACCTTTCCTCAAGTAAGATAAAGGTGAAGCCATCCATCTCTCTCTCTCACACCATGAAAGCGTATGGGGATTCAGAATTAAAACTTCATACACTCTTACTGAATATCATCGCCTAGTGGTTACAGCACCCCTGTTTTTCATTCAGGGGATCCCAGGTTCAGGTCTCAGCCCAGAGCCCCTATATTCTGTGAGTGGGTTGTTGTTGTTGTTTTGACCCCCCTCCCCCCTCAGTCACTAGTCAAATGCCAGTACAGTATCTTAAATTATGGCTATTTCTGTTTAGTCAAAATTCATTTTATACTGTTTCTGGATCAGGCATAACACCACTGTAAAATGGAAAGTACCAAAATGCTAAATTTGTGTTTACTTTTACAAGTGCTAAAGCAGACATGTCATGACATACCACCCCAAGCTTCTGTTTCTTATCACAAAGGCAAACAAAAATACTGTCTTGACAATAAACAGCGTTTTTGTCCAGTCATAACGTAATAACGTTTAAGAAATAAATATTACTATACTGCAACACCACACCAATCAATGAATAAGATCCACAAAACTAGACTGGTCTAAATTTCCTTTTCATGTTTAAACCTGACAAAGAATTGAAAGAATAAAAACTTGCACAGGCTATTATCAATAAAATCAAGCACGTCTCCCTTTCACTAAACCTTATTGATGAACAGCTTCATATATAGAACTACGACGTGCTTTCGATAATTATTTTATCATTTACTTCCTAATTATATGGAAGAGGTGTTCATTTAAAAACTGGAAATGAAAGTTAATCTCTCTATTCAAACTTCACACAAAATAAATGATAAACTCGGATGCTTCAGATGAATAAGAGACCTTTGAATGTGAATAACTTGAATAAGGTCCAATACATATTATGTTCATAATTTACAAAGATGAAAGTACCATACAAGAACAAGAACAGGAAATGAAGTCTAAAATACTGGGGAGGGAACTTAAACTGAGAATCTATAAAGTTCTGATAAGACCAGTAGTCACATATGGATGTGAAGCCTGGACATTAACTAGCTTTGATGAGCAACAACTTAGAATATTTGAACGCAAAATATTACGGAATATCTATGGTCCAATACAGAATAGTGATGGCTCCTGGAGAATTAGGATGAATCATGAACTAGACTGTATCATACAGGGAGCAGATATCGTGAGGCTAATCAAAAGCAAAAGGTTAGCCTAGCTTGGCCACGTTGCAAGAATGGAAGGAAACAGGGTAACTAGAAGAGTGATGGAATGGAGACCGATGGGAAGAAGGATGAGAGGGAGACCAAGGAAACGATGGATAGATGACGTGGAGGAGGATGTGAGGATGGGAGTGAGGGGGTGGAGAAGAATTGTGAATGATAGGACAGAATGGAAAAAACTCGTCGAACAAGCTAAGACCCACACAGGGTTATAACGCTACAAGAAGAAGAGAAGAAGGAAGTACCATACAATGCCATCAATATAAAAATTTGGTGTGACCACAGTCCCATCATGTAATACAATTTCATGCATATGCAGATATTAGCATTTTTATATTATGATAAGATGTGAAATCACCTAATTCAGGTTCGGGCGGAACTTCCGTTGTTTCCGTCACTGTCTGATGAGGTTCTTCTGCTGCTGCGGCAGCCACTGGAGAACCATGTCCTATCGTAATCTTGTTCTTGCGTGTCACACCATCAATCCTGGGTACGGCTCGGACTGTCTTTGATTTTGATGCCGGATCATCCAGTTTATCCAGTGTCATGTCACTTATTCTTCTAGAAACATACATCGAAAGAGGAAACAGTGAATGTACATAAACTTCCAGTTCCCATTCATAGTTGACATGGTTTTTTAACCACACCAACCCGCAGATAAATTACAATATTCATCTACCAGCAAGCAGCAAGTTGTAAGAATGTAAATAAAACTGCACTTTATAGCTCTTTCTGTTCAGGTTTTGCCTTTTTATGAAATACATTTTCTGTAACTTGCCCACTGTTTTTTCTTTATCTATCAAAACCATTTTATAAAATTTTTGGTGCTAGGTAAGAAGGACCTAAGTCAAATGTAATCTGTATTAACTTAAGCTTTTTTTCCAAGCATGAGAGATGTAATCACATTTACTGAACAGTTTCTTACAAACTCACTTTTAGTTTTCATTCCCTTTTCTGGTAAAATCTTATAAAGTATGAATAGATTTCAATTACAAATGTCAAGTTAAAAAAATTATGGTAATTTGAGCATGTCTTCACTTTTGGAGTGAGAATTATAATTGGCATACAAATGTAATACCTTCTTTCTGGAGAACCAAATAATGAAATAGTTTCAGGTCGTTTGGTCAAAACTGCACCACTTTCAACGGTCTGAGAAGTGTCTAATGACTTAACATTCAAACTTTTTAATACATCGTAGTTTATCTTCGATGATATTCTCTTCTCCTGAAGCATTTTCTCTATTGCTTCACCAGCTGAATTAGCAGCACTATTGTTCTTAGGCTTTCTTTGGCACTGCTTTCTCTTCTTCTTTTCTGGTTTTCCTTCCTCTTTTTCTCTGGCTAACCGTTCTTCTTTCTCTGTGAAAATGAGAATGCTTACAGGAACCTATATTTTAATAACAGCTCTACTCTAGTAGCATACTACAAGACCACTAAAATCAGAGGAATATAAAAGAAATGTTTTACTACATAAAACAACAGCAGCACATTCATTATAATTGTTGTTAAAATATCTTTAACACTGTGATATGACTTCTTCTTTATTACACCGTCTCCTTTACAGGAGGTTGGCGACATATTATAAACAGGATCCTTCCATCCTTTTCCCGGACTGGGACCTGTTCATATATGTTTTTCAGGCATTGCCTTCTTCTGTGTGTATGGAGTATGGAGTAATTGTTGGGATGCCACGGAGAAACCGGAGGAAAACTCCGTGACAGTTGAAGGGATTTAATAACATTATGTTTCCCCATGACTTGACTTTTACACTACAATTTGACACAGCTTTATATATATTCTATTTCAAAATTTGATCTCTATTCTGTACTATAGTGGTACAATATCTGCTACAAAACTGACAATTTATAATGCAGAGATCACAAACTGTGCACAAATTTCAACTCAAGAATTCTGTAGATGTGAAAAAAAAGAAATTTGGATTGCATTATCATCAGCCAAGACAGAAGTGTACCTTTCTGTTCCTTAAGGTAGGTGGCATTGATCTTCATCCACAGAGAGTCTTTGTACTGGGTTTCCCGTTCAGACATGATGTAAGACTCGATCTCATCGTCATCAATACCACTGAGATCAATTTCACCATTCCCATCTTCCAAGGGTTCGGAATGGGCTCTTACATCAGGACGATCGTCCAATGAGTTTGCCAAACCCATACTGGCAATGTCTGGCCCTGTTTCAAATAAAAAAGATAAAGGTAAAACGCAAAGCAGAATACGTCATCACTCTTTTCAAAGGAATGGGAACATTCAGCTTTTACACTGGCTTAAATGTTTATGTTTAATTTCAGGGTTGAACTGTGGACTTGTAAGTGTGTATCGGTGTTTCAGAAGTGGCAGACACCCACATGGCATCATAACCCAGAAGACCACTAGAGATACCTTCACTACCATGAGAACCTCAAACTTCAGGTCGACAACATTCTTCACCATCGGCTCAAAGCTTCTTCTTCTACGGCTCTCCGGTCCATACTTGGTCCATGGCCTCCTCAATTCTCCTCTTCCATTCGGTCCTTCTGTTAGGTCCGTCTGTCCGAGGCTTTGATTGAGGTTTCGAAACATCTACCTTTTTACGGTGCAAGGTTGTTAGCCTTGCAACCAATCCCCAACCTGGAGGACCAGGGTACCTGTCTTAGTCTGACCTCTCCCCCTCGACCAATCTGGCTAGGGAGGCCCTACTAGTAGCTATGTTACCGCCAGCATAGCTCTTGGGGTCACTGAGGTACTCAAGCCCCACCACCACGACAAGGTGCTATCTACTACAAATGCCAAAATCAATTTGGGAATATGGGAACTGGATACTCTACAAGGTCATCAGTCTCTTTTGGCACAGGAATATCCGACCAAGAATGGTATCAGTGTTTCCGAAGCCTCCCATCCCTCCTGTTCCCAAGAATGAAATCTATCTTAAAAAAGTGCAGATTTACTGCCACAAGAAGTGTCTACTATGACGACACTTAAGGTCACAGGAAATGGCCCACAGGAGTGCCTCTAGCAGTGCCACATACGCTGGCATAAATGTGCGACGACAGAAGGAAACTTTTAAAATGGTGTGCGGCAGCAACATTTGCCTTGATGACGAGAAAGCTCACGAGTAAGTTCGTAAACCTTCTGACTCAGCCACATATAGAAATGTTTAAAACTGCTAAATACTTAATATAACGACGTGGGACTTTCCCACAAAGACTTTCCTTCCCTGGCATCTAACTTTCAAATCTGTTTCACAAAACCTGTCCCATACCTAATCCTGTAGAAAAAGATGTTCTCTGCCCATCCACACTGTTATCTTCAACAACACTTTTGACATCTTTTGGGACTGGATCATCTGTTATACAACCTTCGATAATGCCAAGGGTTGACTGAACAATGAAACGATCTGCATCTTGGCTCTCGTGGTCTGACTCTGCATCAGATCCTGTAAGAAAAGAATCAAACAGTAGAGTATTTAGAATTTCATCTCATCCAGAAATATAAACTACTCTTTACACAGCTGAGGATTGTGGTCTTCTAAATTGTTAAAACAATTGTGTTGAAACAGCTTTCTGAGAGCCAAAGCCGGCTGCCGGCCTCATGTTCACGAGCCTACGCAGAGGTGAACGATCATCCGACCAGATTTAGGGTGACGTGTGGTCAGCACGACGAACCCTCAGCCATCGCTAGTTTTCACGACCGGTGTTGTGCAAGTATTACACAGGAAAAGTATACTCACGCCATTATCCCTATTAATTGTCCCTCTAAAAAGACGTCTGCAGAGACTGTATGAAGAACAGACCTAATATCAATTCGAAGCACACATAAATTCAGAGACGTAGAAAAATTGATAGCCATCATATCTTAAGTCAGAACAGTACAATCATTCTAAACTATGAAGACACAAAACACATTTTGGAAAATGTACCTAGTGTTTGCTTGCGCGTTCGCTTACGGTTTGCCTTCTCTTCCAACTGTCTCTCTATCTCCTGTTGTAGTTCACTGAAGCTGTGAGCTGTTTCCTCTTCATCCACCACCTACAAATTCAAGAATGCAAACAAAACATTTGGACAACGTTAGTCTTTATATAAAGACGCTTCCCCCAATCTCTTTACTGCTTCCAGTAGCTGTCTTAATTTTTAGCCAATTTTTTTATACTGAATGTTAAGAACAGGATTTTTGTTATCATCATGTATGGGTACATGCAAGTTTCAAATCTGTACGTGGATTTTCATGAAACACAGCACGAACATCATGCTAGTGAAGGCTACCACATCTTTGCACTTTCTAATTCCCTACTATCAGTAACACCAACACCGCCACGGTGGTCTATCGGTTAGAATGCTGGGCTTGTGATACTGGGGTCCCGGGTTTGATTCCCGGCGGTGCTCAGATTGTTGTGTTGGGCAAAGCTGTGGTCTAGGCATCACGGAGTTCTCCTCCGGTTTCTCTGTGGCATCCCAACAATTACTCCACTCGCAAAAAGGGGGTCACAGCAGGAGCGTTAAATGTTGCGGTCCCGATCGAACCCATGTACTGAATGGTGTGTACTGGACACGAAAAGAAAAGTAACACGAACATAGTGGCTATGTGAACTTCTGAGATGTAAGTACCTGTGGCAGTATTTAACGCAGAATCCTGAATTGGTGAAAGCAAACGAATATTATAACCAAACTAAATCTATATTTAGCTTTCTGTTTCTGTCTATGCTGGTAGGCACAGGAAACTTTGGTGTGGACAAAAATTATAAAATTATGTATCTACAAATCTCCTACTAATTTAAGCATTTGAAGGAACAAAGATATTAGAAATTCTTCTCAGAACTTCACATTCATTTAAAATTTCAATTACGCGTGTCTCTTTACCTCTGAACGGTTAACTCGACTGCTGGCTAAATTAAATCAGTCTTTCACTACACGTCTTGAAGATTGAAACTGACAAATTACACAAAAATAATAAATTAGTGATCTCCTGTCTGAACTTACTTTTACTTATTATAAAGTTTATTTTCATTCAAATGTTGTGATTTAGCGGTCACCATTCACGGGTTATATTCATAAGGGTAACAGCTTAAAATCTTTCCATTACTGACAATAGTTTTCTCAGCCTCACCATTCCACCATCTCACATAATATGCCAGAGCTACTTCATTCCTCACCACCACTTATAATCATCAATTCACTTTATCTGCATTCTATCCAGAAGCCTGTGATTTCGTGTTTTGTCATAGTAATTTCACCTTTACTGAAAACACCGGCTCGTAACTTACTTTTTGTAACCGTTCTCTGTCTTTCTTGCGGGCAGCTTTGAACGAAGGTGGATCCTGTTCTTCCTCCAAATCTACTGTCATGAATTCATCCAATGTCAGTGAGCTTGATGGTGTTTCTCCAAACTCAATTAGCCTGTTATAAACAGACGATTAACATATGAGAATCTGGTATCACCACTTCTTTTTTGCGCATGAAAATATATGGTTTTCTTATAAAATTCGTAATTTAAATAATATTGGTGGTAATTAGTATTATCAGCGCCAACATTAAGTATTATTATTATCGAATTGAATATCAAATAAAGGGATGTAAATATATAAATAAAGATATAAACTACTGGTGTATTTATACTCTGACTCCAAGAGCTATGCTGGCGGTAGCATAGCTACTGGTAGGGCCTCCCTAGGGAGAGGTCAGACTAAGACAGGTACCCTGGTCCTCCAGGTTGGGGGTTGGTCGCAAGGCTAACAACCTTGCATCGTAAAAAGAAAGATGTTTCGAAACCTAAACCTCGGACAGACGGACCTAACAGAGGACCGAATGGAAGAGGAGAATCGAGGAGGCCACGTACCGGAGAGCCACAGAAGAGAAGATATTTATTCTCAAATCTTCCCAAAATACTTTACTTTCACATACAATAAATTTGAAATCACTACATATCAACTTCTGATAAGTGCAAATTCATTATACGTATTGTTCGGTAAACTGCTTACCTTTTCTTAACTGTAGATTCATGTACTTTCACAATCTTGATTATATCTGAGACAGTGCGGCTAAATTCGTGAAGTCGAGCTGCCATCAGAAGAGCTAGAATAAATAAAATAAAACAGCAGGTAGACCAATGCAATTAAATCATAAGGACCAAGTACTTGTATTAAAGCGACAACACATCGATAAATACAGAATGTGACCCAAATGTAAGACGATAAAATTTGTTTGTCATACGTTACTTTCACATGCTATTCTTACAGACCAAAGTACTGGACCACACAATTTACAGATGGAATATAAAATTAAAAACTGAACACAGGCATCGAGCTTACCGGCGCCACAAAGTCCCGATGGTCTTCGACCTGTATGTATCGAATCCCTCTTCATCCTCTGTACCAGTCGCAAGGCCGTCATTGATACCTCGTGAGTTTTGTCGCCAAACTCGAGTCGGTTTGCAAACCTCAAGATATACAAACACGGATCTGTAACAATAATTACATGACCTTGCAGCAGGAACGTACTGAGAAGAATTTACCTAAAGTTCCACAAATATGAATCTACTGTTTTCTAACAAAACAGCTGCCCTCTATCCAAACATTCAGAGGACTTTCTACCGTTGTTTTAAATATTGGGATCTTGTTGAAAGAATTAAAACAAAATTATTAAAAATTTAAACGAAATTCGTTAAGGGGTAGAAGGTACTGATATTTCCCATAATGTTCACAATCAGTGAATGAAGAAACAAGTGTGAAAAAGATATCTATTACCACGCTATTTTGTGTCATCCTTCACCAAACACCTACCATCGTTCCTACTAACCTTTGTACAAAACTTTAAATGTACAGTGTTTGTACTTAACGTAGGCAGTGAAAGGTTAAAACTCTTAATTTCGCATCCCTGAAGTTGTGGATACTACGTATATGTGCGTGCATCAAGCGAAGTATCAGCTTAGAATATTCTGAACACATACCAAGAAAGCACTGCTACAGAATTCAAAATAGTAATAATGGCCTGGTAGCATTTCAAGGTAATGCCCTACAGAGAGTAAAACAAATCTCCAAGTGCAACTTCGACTCCTGCTGGTAATATAAATGTAGTTATTGTATCCGAGGTTACTTTTACAGCCCTGAAGTCGGCTATACAATTTATGCCACAATGTCATCATGGCCGGAAGAACATGTCATTCCATTAAAAGCCAGGCTCTTACATTTCACCTGCCAATTTTTATTGATTCTTTGCAAGACGTGCACACAATAAACGAATAATACGAATGTAGTGTATGTTCATCTCCGAAACTTTCGAACGTAAGTCGATAAACTCTACGACGTTCTACACCAAAATTTGTCACTCGAATTTTTGACATTTATTCCTGCCGGCCCAATATAACGCCGCCTTAACATACCGACTATACGTAAAACACATCTCATTAACAACGATGATTTTAAGTTGAAACAGCTTTACTTTATACATCTTTAAATACAGTTAATATTTAAGTAAATACGGTGACCCAGTATGATTGCACAGGCTGGGGGGAATTTCTTGGCCAGCAACATTCTCGTTGAACAGATTTATTAAATTTTATATTGTAAAACCTGCTGATTCCAGTCTCAGTCCACTGGCCAGGTATCGTAACTGGTTTTTCAAACAGGTTTTCCATTCTTCCCCACTTTCTCCACACCAACATTGCAACGGCGCCATGAAAAATTCCACGACCTCGTCCTTCCAAATCCATCATCTACAATCACATTTTCATCTATTTGACGGTAAACAACAAAAGTATCATTAAACACACGATCGAACCAAACCCAGCGGACTGTAAGAACGAATACCACGTGCTGACATGGCTTCACTTGAAGCCAAGACAGCATGTTTGTGTTTACAAGAGTAGGGGAAGAGATCTGAGATAATACATGAAGGTGGTCTGAGAAGGTTTTATTAATCCACTTTTGACTTGCTGATTTCAGGTCAAGGCAGATAAGTCGAATCTTCAGCTGCATTTGCAATAATTTCGGCTATGTGTTTACTTTACTGTGCAAGAAACAGCTGATAACGAGTCGTAGTATCATTTCATTTATTGTTTGTGAGTTTCCCTAGCTTCATTGGGGCCTGGGGAGTAAAAAAGCTTTGTCAGTACAGATTAGGGGTCCGCAGTCCGGTGTGAGGCGTGGGCCTTGTGACCGTGGGTTCGAATCCCACTCAAGCCATGGATGTTTGTCCGCGTTTTTCTGTATTGTGCTGTCCTGTAAATAGGTAGAGGCCTTGCGACGGGCCGATCCCTCGTCCAAGGAGTCCAACCAAAATGTCTATAGATAAAGCCAACCAAAAGTTGGGACCCGCAGTGCTTAGGCACTTGAAGAACGGGTTGTTCCCAGTATCCAGTACAGATTAGTATGTGTATGTGCGTGTTTATTTGTCATTTAGACGTAAAATATTAAACTTCTCTTTCTACAGGGAATGGTAGGTGTGCTGGGGGCGAAGCGTATGAATAAGTGGGGGTTCCCTTTCTAAAATAACATATGAGGCATTCCCCTCTAGAAATTTAGGAGATTATGCACAAAATAAAATTCTGTTCTTGAATATAGACGCGATACGTTACTCCTAAACTTTGTTAACCACCTAGAAGACTACACAGTGTTAAAACCCAGAAGACCACGGCCGACAACTGAAGAATGTACTTAATAAAGACACTGGTGGTACACAACACTGCTCACAGTTTACGAAAAATATACTACTTTCAATGTTTGGTATTGCTAATAAATACACTGCATTTCATTTAAATGGAAAGAAAAGAACAGGCTCAAATTCAACTTTAGTAAAACAAAGGCTCCTTGTTACTTTATTCTTGTATCCAAGGACGGAGTTTAATCTGCAGATATATCACTGAATGAGATGCGAATATAAACCTATTGCGAATGACAAGAATTTTGAAACAGACGGTATTTGTTCATTTCGCCTAAAAGATATGAACCGTAGTCAGTAGCTCGGTAGAGATTCGAACGGGGCGCCTCCGTAATTAAAGCAGAGAATGATACCACTACAATATAATGCAGTCTCCTGAAGAAATGAGACAGTGAAGAACTATGAAGATGTTCAAACAGGAAGGTCACTTTAACGAGGTAATAAGTGAAGGTTTACCAGACAACACGATGTCCCAAATGACTGAAGGACAACGCGACCCAAATACATGGCTAACGAAAAATAGACGAGGGTCGAGGGTCTACAATGTATTACATTTCATATAAGAAAGATAAGTGTGTTGAGCGAATTCTCGATCAGCAACGAACTCACCTTGATCTAAAATCGCAAGGTCCCTGTGATTTAAAGACTAGTTTTTCTCTTGCCTATGAAACAGAAAAATCAAGGTAAATACAAGGGACCGATGTGTGAATACACAATGAATAACACCAAATTCAATTTGCATTTAAAAAACCTGTTCATTTTCGAATATTACAGTGTCAATTGCGCCCTTAAAACAAACTAAAAGATACAAGTGTTTTCGTATCTCGTTACATATACGCCAGACACAAAAACAATGCAGACAAACGTTCAATGAGATAATTACTGCACTCTATTTTTCGAAGGAGGATTTTGTGTAAAGTGTTTTATATCTCTTGACAGGTCATTGAAACAACAGATCAATTATATTTTACTTCACCTTCATACAATATGTCTACTTGTACTGTTTAATTTTAGTAGGGTTTTGTTACGAATTTTGCTTTGCATGCAGTTTGACAAATTGAGACTACAGGAAATTAATAAATTCACAAAAATCACCTGTCAAAATGACATGAGATTCTATTGTCGGGCCTCCACAGGTTGACAATCACACTTGGTACTGTTAAATTTGCTTTTCTGACCAGGAAGTGTCTTCGCATGTTCAGATAGGAAGTCTGGGGTCTGCACACCTCCATGTATGTGACACATATCAACGGTACTTTGTATTACTGTATGCGGTTTCTGTCCTGGAACTAAAACGATATCAACAAATCCCGTAGAACAGAGCTCTTCAGACGCTAAAAGACGGTCAGCTAGTCAATAAATTCCCAATACTGTATGTAACCCAAGGTATCATTCCAGCGTCAACAAGATACTGACTAGAAAAATGTCCAGCGTAGAAACAAGTATCATACCACGAACTTTATTGATGATCTCATCTGCGGAGTCCTACAGAATATGTTGGACAAGCCTGTGGTTGCGAGGTACTGGTATTTACTTTCCAACTTGTTTGTTCAATCTGCATTTAAAAAGAAACTTTTGTAACGGTTTCGAACACGATTTCGCCATCTTTCTCCAGGTCGTATAGACACATAGAAACAATTCTGAATATAATTTACATGCCGATAGCAATGATTTTATGCAAAGAACTGATAAGTACTTCGGCAACACATGTTTCCTACTACTTTCATTCAAAAAAGAAT